GAGAGGAGAGGAGAGAGAGAGAGGAGTGGAGGAGGAGGGAGGAGGAGGAGGAGGAGGAGGAGGAGGAGGAGGAGAAGCAGAACCACTCTCTCAGCAAGCATAGCAAGCAATGAGAGAGCAGAGCGCTCATCAAACAGACAGATCAAGACCTGCTGTGAGCATCGAGAACACGACTTGTGCGGATAGGTCAGAGACATGAACAGAGAAGAGAAGAGGTCAAGGAGAGGAGTTTTTGATATGGGCAAAGGGGCAGCAGCCGCAGCAAGGGAAAGCGACGAAGGAGAGAGAGAGAAGAAAACTGAAGGATGAGGTGGCGCAAGCAATGAAACGCAATTACAAAACGATGAAGACAACGAAAGAAGGGTCAAAGACACAAGAAAAACAGCAGAGCGAGGTGATCTTTCATCTCAACTCATCTCATCTCATCTCATCTCATCTCATCTCATCTCATCTCATCTCATCTCATCTCATCTCATCTCATCTGTACATCATGTACCGTGGCATCCCGTTGTTTTCGTTGCCTCGCGAGGAGATCGCCTGCAGAATATTTCAAACCCCTTCCCCTTCCCCGTTCCCTTCCCCCTCTCAACTTCGTCTTCCTCGCTTCCCGTCTCCTCCCCCTTTGGCTCCCTCTAGCGCCTCCTCACCTTCTCCAGCAGCTCCTTCATCCTCTTAATCTGTGACTGGTACTGGACCTCCCTCCGGATGAAGGCCTGTCCAATGTTAGCTCCTCCTCTCCCCTCCCTTCCCTGTACTCCCTCTCCCTCTCTTCCCCTCCCTGCACTCCCTCCCTCCATTCTCCTCCTCCCTCAGCCCTTCCTGCCCCCTCCCCCTCTGCTTACTCCATCCCTTCCTTGCTCCTCACTGCACAGACCTGCTGCTGTTCTTTCCCCTCCGCAATCATTCTGTCATGCTCCACCGAGAGCTCCTGTAGCTTCGCCTCCGTCTGCTTCACCATGGCCTGCAGACTCTCCACCTCCATTGCTCCCAGCTGCGACTGCATCCCCTGATCCATCGCCACCTGACGTTTCCTGCTCCTGTCCTGCCTCGACCTGACGCCTCGTCAGCGGTGAGGGAGGAGCAGCGAAAAGAGCAGAGGGGAGAAGAGAGGTCGATGCATCTGCAGATAAAGAGCAGCAGAGCCTGGGTAGGAGAGAAGAAGAGAATATGAGAGTTGAGAGCAGGACAAGGAGGACGGGAGATCGTAGCAGAGTACGGGATGAACGGGAAATAGTCCAACCTGCCCTTCCTCCCGACCCTCGAAGGGGAAGGGGAGCCGACGTTGTTCTCCTCTGGCATGGAGGATCGAAGGCTGTCGGCCAACTCGCGGAGCTTCTGGAGGGACAGAGGAACGACCTGAGACGCGAGCAGAGATGAGAAGATGGAGAAAGGGGAGGAGGGAGAGGGAGGGGGGGAGAGGGGAGGAGGGAGGAGGGGAGGGAGGGAGGAGGGGAGGAGGGGA